CGTTAGGAAAGCCCCCATATCGCACACGCTTTGAAGCCCTGTGTCCGAAACCCGAAGCTCTGAAAATGGAGGGCCTGGGGGTGGAGTGCTGCTGCCATGCACCCGGGAGCTGCGTCTTGAAGATCCTAAGCGTCAACAAAGCAGGCATATGGGAGGACCGGGCTTTGTAGGGATTTTCATAAACGACGGTATCGGGTTTCGATTGTGGGCAGAGACTATTCCCGAACTCGGCCTTATGCTCGGGCCAAGACGGATTACCGCTTCTGGGGCTCTGGGGCTGTGCTGGAACCTAAAGCTAGACTTACCCAAGATCCAACAACTGAAACCCTAAAACCCTTAAACCCTAAACCTTACAGTAAAACATACATCCTAAGGCCAAGCCCAAGGCAGGTGAGGCGCCTTTTGGTTTTGTCAAGCGCTCAAGCTCAATCAAGTTATAACGAGCATGCTTTCAGCATGTGGACAAGGAGCCCACAAGAACAAAGAGTAGACATCTTCCATCTCAGGCAATGTCATCTATTAACTGGTTAATGATTAACCAGGCGTCGAGTTCAACAGTCCCCGAAGTTATTCATGATTAGGTCTCTATAAAAAGAATAAGGTCAACTAAAAATACTCCCAAATCGATACCAAATTAGGTCAACACCGAAACTTGGCCTAGGTTCAGGGCTCCCCAAGAAGAGAGCTTTTAACTTTAGAAGTAGGAACCTGAGCGAGAAACCCTGGTCCTATAGCCCAACAATACGAGGATACATACAAAGGAACCCTAATCAATGCCCAAAGTTTCTCCATCCACTCATTCTTAATCAGATTCCTACAACTTGGCAATGAAGAAAAGGAAATGAAGATTTTCCTTGGAATTAGGGTTTGTCGTTTTGTCTCGGGGCCCAGGCCATTCAATAAGATTAAAATGAGCTTTGTAAGAGGCTACTACAGACAGGATTGCTGCATTCAGCTGGAGATTGTGCTGCTAATTGTATGTGCATGCAGTCCATGCTATCAGCTTACACTGATGAGGTTCGTAAAACCAGGCTTTCAAAGCTTGAGTTGAAGCACCGCAAACCCTTTGGAAACGTCCGGCTTGTGGGCTCCTTTGCTAAGAGTCGAGGCAGCGCATCTTTTCACGATATAAAGTTGTGGGGTTGGGGTCGAAACTCGAAAGTGTCAAGGCCCTGCAGGCTTAGTTTTCGCAATTGGTTTGTTCGTCCAGGACGTCTTTTTGCGGTCCTGCAGTCTTGGCATCGCCTTTTTGTTGTACGGATTTTGGTGGTGCTGTTGCTGTCCAAAGCCACAGGCCCCTAAATCCCCATACCACTAACCCCTTAATCCCTAAACATGCCGTTTTGACAAGCTTGCGGCTCAAGGAGAAGCTCTAGGATTACAGGATTCACCACGTAGGGCTTCGTTGGGCTGGAAATTCATGCTGTCGGGTGTGCCCTAAACTCTGGACCCATCATTCCAAACCTTGAACCCCACCCAGAAACCTAAAGCTCAAACATTGCACCTTACGTCTAAAGCCCAAAACCCCCAATCTTGAGCGTCAATCCCTCAAACCCAAAACCCTGAACCTTAAAGCCTACACGGGTGAAGGCATCAGAGCTACTCTGCCAAGCGTTGCCTCGATTTACAGTATTCCAAGCACACTTGGGTGGCAGCAGCGATTTCCGACGATGGCTGGAAAAAAAGCTTACACTACTCGAACTGTACTTCGTATCAGGGGCTGGGTTTGTATATGAAGGGAAAAAATACATATAATGTATAGGTGTGAGCACGAAGGTATATGTGTGCACATATAATATAATATAATATGATATAATAAAATGAAATAAAACAAAACAAAATAAAATAAAACAAAACAAAACAAAATAAACAATAAATAAAACAAAACAAAACAAAATAAAACAAAACAAAACAAAACAAACCAAACCAAAACAAAATAAAATAAAATAAAACAAAACAAAACAAAATAAAACAAAACAAAACAAAATAAAATAAAATATAATAAGATATAATAAAATATAATAAAATATAATAAAATATAATATAATATAACATAATATAACATAATATAATATAATTTGGTAACAAAGCGCTTCGGACAGCTACTTTTTTGCCAGCTAGCTCAAGGCGCCTTCGAGAGGAACGTTACGGTCAGCACATACAATTGATGTTTCCTACCGCACTAGCACTTTACAATGAAGGCTTCCTAGGCATGCGCTCAGGCTACACATCGCAAAACGAGGAGGTATTCTCACCCGTCTTATCTACTGACGCATGCCGGCTGTCAAGACTAACACTGTACACCAAAAACATGCAAGCGACTCTGCGGCAACTACTAGATCGCTATTCCACGCTACTACAGTTAGGGGCCTTAGTCACATCAGTTTGTGCTGGAAGATGCTACCAGCAACTACTGGGCAGATGCGATGGGGTCACATCATGGTCACATCACCCAGGTGCTTACTAGCAGGAACGGACGTACAGAGTGTCAAAAGTATGGAGACAAGTACTGCGGAAATTGTGTAAAACACCACACTTACGAGGGATTTCGAATGCCGCGCCCAGGCGCACGAGACTTGAGGCAAATCACGAAGACTTCAAGACAACCAGCCGTTCCCCATGTAGACGCACGTTTTCAGAAGCACCCGCTCAACAGAAACAGCCGTAGAATCGCAGCACTTCAAAACCAGCCATTCCCCTAACTGCACGCTCGATTTCCGCAGCACCCGCTCAAGGCACACATCATTGGCATCACAGCGCAACCAGCCATTCCTCATGTACACGCTCGATTTCAGAAGCACCCCATTCACGACAGAAGTGCAGTTGTCTCACGAGGATTTGAGGAAAACCAGCCGTTCCCCATGTAGACGCCCGTTCTCAGAAGCACCCGCTCAACAGAAACAGCCGTAGAATCACAAGCACCAATCGCCCGTCGATTGGAGCGAAGCCAAATTGGCTCAGCAGAAGCAGTGGGTGCACATGAATAGTGCAACAACTTCTACATTTCAGAGAAGCATGTGCATTCATGAAACACCATCCACTCTACCGGTTTCGTGTTGCATACAACTTCCGAACCGCTGAACCCTTCCGAGGACACTCATAATCCCAGTACTTGCTGCCCAAGCAAGCATATTTGCTTGCAAATGTGCTCCTACGCATTTTTGTCGTTGCATTTCGCGTTTTTTTTGATGCTTCCCCCATCTGCACACACGCGACGACTGGGGTCGCTGCAAAGTCATTGCATTTGCCGTTCCCGCAAGAGCACACCCCGTGCACACCGTCCCCTAAGAGTGAACCACGGACCCCGAAATGCATGCACTTATACCTGCGTGCTGCGGTTCGTTGTTCCAGCCTTCTGCGGGGGACAGGTGAAGAACGGACCCTGAGATGCATGATCTTATACCTGCGTGCTGCGGCTCGGTTGTTGCAGCCTTCTGCAAGTGCACACCTCCGGGGACAGGTGAAGAACGGACCCTGAGATGTATGATCTTATATCTGCGTGCTGCGGAGCGTTTTTGCAGCCTTCTGCAAGTGCACACCTCCGGGGACAAGTGAAGAACGGACCCCGAGATGCATGACTTAACCCGCGTGCTGCTGTTGGTATTTGCAGCGATCTGCTGGCTCGGGAGCCTGGCAGGGGTCTAAAATTGTGTGGTGAGTGGTGCAATTCGCGTAAGCTGCGCGTAAACAGTGCGTAAGCGGCGCCCTCCGTTGCCAACCCAGAGCCCAGCAGGAGGAGTGGCAGTGACGCAGTGACAGTCGCAGTGGTAGCAGTGGCAATGGCAGCGGCAGTGGTCGTGGTGGCAGCAGCAAGCAGCAGCAGGAGGAGGAAGAGCAGCAGAAGAGTAATACCAGTGCTTGGAAAGCAGTTTTAGGCTTGATGTCCAAAGCCTCAATGGCCATTTAAGAGCCATTCCCAATTTCACAAGCATGCCTACGAGGCACATCAGTCATATCGGTGGCATAGCGCATCAAACCCAGTCGATCCCCATGTAGACACTCGATTTCACAAACAGGCGCTCAAAAAACACCTCAGACATCAGTGGCATCGCAGCAAACACCAAATCAAAACTAGCCATTCCCCATGCAGACACTCGATTTTGCAAGCAGCCGCTCAAGAAAAACATCAGTGGCATCACAGCAAACAGCGCATCAAAACCAGCCATTCCCCATGTAATCGCTCCATTTTGCAAGCAGCCGCTCAAGAAACATATCAGTGGCATCACAGCAAACAGCGCATCAAAAGCACCCGTTCCCCATGTAGACGCTCGATTTTGCAAGCAGCCGCTCAAGAAACACATCAGCGGCATCACAGCAAACAGCACATCAAAAGCACCCTTTCCGCATGTAGACGCTCGATTTTGCAAGCAGCCACTCAAGAACCACCTCAGACTTCAGTGGCATGGCAGCATAAAGCAAACAAAGCCAGCCTTTCTAGTTTACCAGCATATCCCAGGATCCCGATTGACGCGCTTTAGCAGAATATCCAACTGCACACTGGACCTGGGACGACTTAGGGCCGGGACCCTGGAGCAAACAAACACCGCAGATCATCATCTTGAAAGCCTTTCCCCCATGTGCACACCGAAACGCAACGACTCCGCGACAAAGCTTCCCACGAAGGTCTGGCGCTGCCACGAACGAAGCGCAACGACTTTAGCAACTGGGAGTAGTTGTTTCTTGCAACATGAGTATTTTGGGTATGCTTTCCCCCAACTACACGATGATTGGGTCGACTTCCTGAAATGCTTCCCGCAACTGCTTGCTCGATACAGATAGAAATGGTCAACTTTCCGGTTCTGTACGAAATATAGCAAACACCAAGTACTTGCATGGATTCAAGACGAGTTGATGCGACCCTCCCCGGACCCTTTCCCTCAACTACTTGCATGGATCACATGAAATCGATGCGACTAAGGACGCTGACTGTACTAGCTCGCGATTCCCATGCCAATTCACATGACTCAGCACACCTCGTCCTTAAAGGAGTCTCAGGTTTGTCACTGGTCACCTTGTTGTGTGCCCTTCTTGATCTTCTTCTCTGGGTCACTGAGGTAAACCTTGGCTTCACGCATTACCTTGAAAAGCTGATATGGCTTCATCGACTTTGTCAATGCGTCGGCGAGCTGTGTCGCCGTATCAGTCCAGCGAAGGCGATCACCATGGCCATCGTAGACCGTGTAGGTTTTGCTATCGCCTTCCCATAGCTGTTGACGCATCGATTCTAGCTCGATGGCGAGTCGTCGATCGGTCACCTTGCTCGCTTGGCATGAATTTAAATGGTCTGTCAAGCTCCGGCAATCGGAAACCCATTCATGTCTCATGACCTTCTGAGTGGTTTCCATCCAATCCTTGAGGACCGGCAACTGGCCCCTCAACTCGCACAGAATAGCCCGTAGCCGGTCACCACTCTCGACCGCAGTCTGCATCGCATAGGTTTCGGCCTGAAGGGTGCTTCGACATACCCGGCGAATGGTTGTCGAACCATAGCCGATGATGTGCGCGTCGTGCTCATTTGTATCCACCATCTTCTCCGATGTGATGTAGTGGAATCGGCCTTGTTGGCTCCGTAGCCCTTCTTCTCCGGCATGGCTTGCATCCGAGAAGCTGACCACACACGCATCATGCCATGAGAATTTTCCCGCTGGGTAATACATTGCGATTCCCATATCCGCCTTGGCTAGATCCACCACTCGGTTGGCATCCCTCAAGTCGGCCACTGTTGCCCTCGCGCAAGCACGCTGCAAGCAGTTGACTCGGTAGCACAAATCTGGACGCGAGTACCTTGCAACCCACGCTAACTAGCCTACTACACTGCGCAACCGTGTCACATCTTGTTCCGTTGCTGCTTCTGTGCCCTTGCGGTTCGGATCGATACTGATGTGCCGAATGGACCTTGTGTTGTCCTCCGTGTCGATGGTCACGTTGAAGTCGGCATCCTGTCTAAACCTCCGGCCGCAATACCGGAAATCCGTGTCCTCAATCTTCCCCATGTCAAACCTGGCCATGATCTTGTCCATGATCTCTTCTCCTTCTGGCGTCGCACACCAAAGCAGGTCATCAACATGGGTCCCCAGCAGCACTGCAGGAAGGTTGTCAGACCCTAGCACGTAGTACAATCCAGTTGCAATCTTGCTCACCCTGAGTCCTTCCTCACATGACACATTGCACAGACGTGTGTAGAACCCTCTGCCAGCATCCATTGTGCCATACACCGGCAACCTACACAGCAACATAGCTTCTGGCGGCACACCTGGCAATCCTCCTCGCGGCTGCCTCATGATGATTACTCTTTCCAGCGGTTCTGACTGAAAGTATGCCGAAGAGATATCCCCGCACCTGAGCTTTATCTTGCGGCAAGCCGCGTAACTTGCGATCAGACAATGGGTTTCTGCGTCCACCGTGGGCGCATCACACCTTAGCTCATTTCGGGAGACGTTCTCGTAGTTCCCGCACGAAACCAGTCTGCTTCTGTACCTTGGCTGGTAGTCGCTCCGACCTTTCTTGAACTCGTTCTTGTCGACATCTACCCACTGGCTTGGGATAGGGATGTGTCCTTCTCGAAGTAGGCCTTCTAGCATTGGTCCCATAATGGGAACTGCTGCATTGTACTGTTTGTACTTTTCCCATTCTTGTCCTCGGGCCTCGTGAATCCCTTGGGCTGTTTTCTCATCCACTCTGTTGATGTCAAGCTTCTTCGGCTTCTTACCATTCACTGCTTCACCGAACGGTTCATTTTTGGGTAGTATTCTGTCACTCAAGAATGCCTGATACTCCGCTGACTCCACTGGCGCCTGAGGTAATGAAGATAATTCCGCCTCAGTATCAGCATACTTGAACAATGTGAATCCCGTCCACGGTCCATCTGAATTCTCATCTGCTTCGCGAACCATTCCCCACTCATCGGTAACATGATCTGTTCTTCCACCTGAAAAGGTTTTGTGTGTTACCCTTGTGTGACTCACCCGACTAATATCACCTGGGAAATCATCGGCACTTGGGGTGTAGAGGCCTGTTCTGGGCTTCATGTGCACCCTGAAGAAGAATCCCGTAGCCACACGCCAATGATCCTCAGTCATACCTCGGGTCATCAATGATTCCATGGGAAGATCGCGCTCTTGCGTCACTGACTCCTCTGTCTGAGTGTCCACGACCTTGACGTCGCCCTGATGATGTTCTCCCTGTGAACAATCGGCTGTCATGTACAAACTCCCTGTTGCTCTGGCTAATGCTTTCAAGGGTTCCACCTTAAACCCTCGATCAGCGAGGTCCTTGTGTTCCAGCTGTGTCAATTTAGGAAAACCTCGACTGGCGTATGCTGAAATAGTCCATCTCTCACCTTCAAAAGGAAGTGTAGCATGCGCCTGATCAGGTCCGAATGTCACGACCCTGTGCTTGCACTCTAGGATTCTCCCATCCTGACCTTCATAATCCATGCGCTTGGACTGGCCTCCAGGGTCTTGAACCCATATCTGTCCTCCTTCGTGAGGTCCTAAGCTGGTGAGTTGATTCACCGATCCTGGCATGTTGTGGTTGTCCGTGTGCTTCGGGGTCTCTGCATTCAAATGAATCACGAAGCTGGACCACCCCTCCGTAGCCCCACGTGCGCGTAGGTACTCGTTCACATACAGAACAAGCCATGGGTGCTCCAATGTTGCTTTTGTCACCCCTGAAAACGGACCATGCGCATAAGTTCCAAAGCTCATGCACTCACCGGTCTGATTGATGTCCCGCTTCCTCTTCTTCGGGAACTGACATGCTCTCAACACCTGCAAACATGTTCTCGGAGTGTAATCTTCGTGTTCCAAGGCCTGTTTGGCTAGCCTTTCACACTCCGTCATTGTATCTTCATCTGCTTGATGTGCTTCATGCGCGGTGTTGTTCTGCTCAGCTTGATGTTCCGGGATTGTGCCCGTCTTATCTATTGCTGTATTCCCTTGTCCTTCGCTTTCTTCACTGGACTCTGAGCTTGAGCTGCTTTCGCTGCTGCTTGGAATGGGAATGTCCTTGGACGCTGCTCCCTCTTGTTTCCGCTTCTTCGCGTCAGGCTGCTTAGCTGCTTTTGCTGGTTCTGTCTTTTGACGCTTGTCAATGTATGCTTTCTTGCCTCTGGGTCCCTCTGTCAACTCTGTAGGTAGCAACGGGATCCCCTGTAGCATGCAATGAGACATGACTTCTTCTTCGGTAGCTGGGCGTAGGGCATGAACTGAGCACAATACCGGCACTCCACCGTGTATAACCCAAATCGACTCTGACCCTTCCTTACCGATCACTCTTGATGCGCTGCTCCACTTCGTTCCACCAGCCTGAGCATCCCGCCGATACACGACATAATCACCTGGCTGGTAATCCTCCTTGATCGGAGCTGCATTCCGGGTCAATGCCTCTTGGACTCTGCGACTGCAATCCAAATGAATCATGGCCTTCTTCGCAGCCATTCTTGCCTGATGCCGTGATGCGAACTCGCTGCTCCCATCGTGCTTTGATTCCATTGCACCTAAGTCCAGCCATCCGTGCTCATCGGTCATCGCTCCTGGATCCCTTGGGTTTCGGCCTGTAACCCACTGCATTGGACTGTACCCAGAAGTGTTCATCATTGCATTCTTGACTCCGATGACTTCTTGAACCACTGCTCGGATCTCTGAAACCCCTGTGGTACCCACTTCATGCACTACCTTTCTCACCACGGCTTTCGCAAGCCCTCCGTGCCTTTCTACTTTCCCAATCATCCATGGGGCCTCGGTCGCGGCGTACCTTATGTCAACTCCTTTCTCTGATGCCCACTTGTTGAATATGCCCCGATTGTGGGTGCCACGGTCTGCCATGAGCACTCTTGGCAACCCTAGCCAAGTTACCCATCTTTGGACTGCTTCCAAACAAGACTCTGCGCTTGGTGGTCCTGCGTGCTCGCCTACCGGTCGAAGCACTTCAAGCTGCTGAAAACCTGATGCCATGTCGACTAAGTTGACGCACTGATACTTCTGCTTTCCCGAATCGGAAATCTCAAGAACGTCAATCCCCAGAACATCTCCCACTCGATACTCTCCGTGTCCCAAACCTACGGGATGAGGCCTCGGCTTCCCTGATGTTTTGATGCACGAATCACACTTCGCTAACTTGGCTGCCTCGATGAACTCCTTCGATGCACCTCCGGCCTTGAGTATCGCCACTAGGGTCTTGGGCGCTGGGTGATTGAACTGCCGATGAAGTCTCCTGATTGCCACTCGAACCTTTTGCGGTAGCATTCGCCACATCTTGCGTCTCTCGGCTTCCGATTTCGGCACTCCTGGTAGTGGTAGTGTTTCCAACCACTCGCGCTCTCGCTCTAATGGGGTAAGTTGCGGTTGCCCGGCTTGTTCCAGAATGCGTTCAGCTGCGTCTTCAATCTCCCGATCACTCTCATTCTGAGCGTTCCGATTCTCATCTTGTGCTCCCTGCGGCTCTCTCTCTGGGTTCATTTCTGTGTCTGAGTTTTCCAGATCTAACTCCACATCCTGACCATCACCTCCCGATTCGGCAACCATGGCTGTGGAAAGCATCTCCAAATAAGCGTCATCAGCCAGTGATTTCAGGAAGTCGCGAAAGGAATAGGAGTTTGTATCCGTGTATGCTTTTGGGGTGTACCCGTTACCCTCAAACCATGTAACGATATCACGCCCCACTGTGCTGGCCAACGGTCCAACACAAATCATGTTTGCATCACCTCGACACTCATGAATCTGCACTCCGCAATCCGGGATCTTTCCTAGGGGTGCTACCACACAGACTGTCACTCCAGATGCATCCGACTCGCACAGAAGATCTACGATAACACTCCGTTCCGGTTCCGATGCCTTGTAGACGATTACCCCTGGCCTGAACTCGTTGATCTCGTGAACCAGTCGGCTCAACTTGAAATCCTTCGCGGAATGTTGGGAGATCCCAGTGCCATCTTGGAATGGCTGATTGTCGTGAATGAGGATGAGGGAAGTTGGCTTCTCCGTATCATCATGTGTCATGCCCGCAGTCATGTGAACAAATCTGTCGATGTGGCTCACCACTCTCACTCCCGATTCATACGTACTAGACTGCTGCTTCGACATGAGCACTGCTGTGTATGCCGGATTCCGCATTGACTCGCTGTTCGGAAACTGTACAACCACGAAATCGCTCGCATCCGGCACAAAGCGAGTGGTCCCTGCAGCAACCGGGCCATACATCTGCCATCCCGATGGGCGCCGAGCGAATGTCACCTCCACCCACCTGAGAGCCTTCAGCTCATTGGCAAGATTGCTTACGGCCTGGTCTGCATCCTTGTACACTTGTACCTTGATATTCCGCTGAATGTTCTCGTGCGCGGATCCTGGTCCAATCCAGGTCATGACCCTGGGCTTGAAGATATGCCGGGTTTGAGTGGGCCGCATCCAATGCACACCAGTTGCAAAAATACGCTCGACGATTCCATTAGTCATCCAACTCTGGAAATCAATACGGCCACGCCAATCGCCTGCACCATCGCTGATCATCAGTTCCTCCATTTCGGGGTAATCCCCAGTCGTCGCGACGGATGCATTAGGTACCACTGTCGGCCGCCGTTGCAAAGGCGATCGGCTCCTCCACGGCGGAGTCACATCCCTGGCTCGCTGCCCCGGGAGTGGCTCTCTCCCCCTGCTCGCGGGCTCCTCCCTGGCATCCCTCCGGGTCTCAAGCAAACCTGCCAGCCTACTCACCTCCGACTCCAACGCCTGAATCCTAGCCAATGCCACCGGATCAGTCGTCGTCGCAATGCTCTCAGCCGGAACAGACCCAGCAGGGCTCTCAGATCGAGTAGATGGCCTTGGGGTAGAGCTCGCAGCTCGGGAAGCCGATGGCTTAGGAGTAGCAGCACGCACAACCGGCTCGGGATCATCAGGAACCACAACACGCACAGCTGGCCTGGCCTTAGCCTTCACCTTCGGTTGGGGTTCAAGATACTCAGCACGATCTGCTCTCACCTTCGGTTTCGGCTCTGCGCGCTCGCGGGTCCATTTTCCATAAAACTTCGCCGCGTCCGTGGGCCGTCCTCGCGCCCTTGTGATCCATTGGCGAGCCTCCTCCAAGATGTTCTCGACTTGATGAACCGTCCAACTGTCTGACCATGTGCAAATATCACAACGGCCATAACAAGATCTCATCTGAGGCCACGAAATTCTCTCGCCAGTGTGCACAATCTGAAGCCTCGTGCCCTCCGGCACTACCGCATCTGTAAGTTCCGCGACTGCCACTGATCTATGTCGGGACTGATTGCATACAAAGATTACGTAACAACGCTTCGGCCGCACCGATCCATCCTGCTCCAGCCGCTGCTTGAGCTCGCGCATGTTAGCAAGGAAGTTCACATCTCGTAGCGGTGCCGCAAGCGTATCGGGGTGCCTCCCCACATGTCCCCGAGTCTGTGGCCGATCCTCTGGGTCATTCAACCGCAGAGTGTCCATCACGAAGATAGCTGTATCGTCTGCAATGCGATGATCGGGAAACATGCCTTCGCCAACAATACAGCCCTCTGATGGCAGGGCTCTCTCAAGTACTCCGCAGCCTGCGCAATAAAGTTACGACCAGCCGATGCCGCGTAAACCTCCATGGAGGGCAGAGCCTCGAGATCCCCTTCACTTCTCCGCACCACTCTCTCACTCTCAGTGGTTGCTGTGTAGCTGGTACTCAGTACTGCTTGGGATGTCCTGAGTTTCCGAATGGCCTTAGGCAACTCCGTCTTCTGTCTCAATCCCTTGGTCAAGTTGATGCACAGAAGATTACTCCCCCTGGCTCGGGCTAATGGAACCATCCATTCTTGGCCATCCTTGCGAATGTAACACCGAAAATTCCCCATGTCCTTCACCAACCCCAACTTACTCTGTGCGAACTGCGACATGAGAAGCGGAGCCGTTGTATCATCAGGTAGGACATGCACATCCATCAAACCCGAAGTGAAATCCTGATCTCCTTTGCTGTTCGGGTCTTGGGTCAAACCTTCCTTGCCACCACGGTCAAGGAGTGAACTCCCGAAAGTCTCAATGCTGAAGGGAATCCGCCGGGTACCAACGGTTGAGGCGCTGTGGGCAAGTCCATTGAATGTTTTGGTTTCGGAGGAAATCCACGGGCACTCGAATCCCAACTCCCTCAACTTGGACTCCGTTCTGTTCATCCACTGACCACCGGCAACGCTGCTGTTTGCCCCTTCATCCAAAGTAGCCCAAACATCTTCGTCTTCCATAATGTCAACCACTGGGAGAATCAATCCAACCTCATCGTTAGGCAGGGGTCCGGGTTCCTCAAGAGTTGCCATGAATCCCGAACGTCGTGGCGCATATCCTGTCCTCTGACGGCTTGCCGATGGAGCTGCAGAGGATCCAGACCAATCCGTCACACCTACCGGTCCACGAGGTGGATCAGGTTCTTCGGCCACTTGTGATGCTTCAATGCAATCTTGGAGTATGCCATGCAATACTTCTGCTGAAATGGTGGGCTTGGCTTCTCCGGCTACATCTTGTGCTACCATGTGGTCCTCTACTTGGGTTCTGAAATCGTCCAAGATAACCACTGCTTGCTCGGTAGTCAACTCCGTACCCTGACTCACGGATTGCTGAATGCTCGATACCAAGTCGAACGACGCTGCTGACATGGTCTCAACCTCTCTTCCTACCGCCTGTCGTCTCTTTGCCTCCTCTCTCGGCATCTCATCAATGAAATTCCCGCAATCCTTGCAGAATACCCTCATCGTTGCCTTATTGGAACCTAGCCGGTTTGTGTTCTTGTGCTCACAAAGGTTGATGTCTTTCTTCTCTGGCATCTCCTTCTTCGTCTTCTCAATCTTACCGCAATCTTTGCAAGTCTTGACCTGCACATAAGCGTTGGTTCCCAAGAAACTGAAATCTGTGCATTTCCGACAGCTCACGGGTAATGGTGGATTTGGCGGCTTCTTCTTGGCTGACTTGTGCGCTGATCTTGCTGGTATCATCTGATCTGATGCTGAAGCTTCTGCGCTGGGGACTCCCATTTGGTCGAGCGGGACTTCTCGCCGGGAGACTTCCATCGTCTTTTGATCGATGGTGTAATAGTTGTGTACCCAATCCAGATACTCAGACAGATACAAGGACGGAGCTCGTTCGTTGAATCCCCATGACGCATATCCCGGAAATCGCCATGTGACCTCTTCATAAGTCAACCCTCGATGCTGTCCAAATAGGAACTTCTTGTCGCCACCTGGAGGAACCTCATCCCTCATTGTTCCTCCCTTGGTCAACCTGCTTGGGCTGTGCCTGTACGCCATCATCGCATGAGGACTTGCCGAATCATCCGAAATCAGCAAACAATCATCCTCTGAACTCGAATCCGATAGCGTAGCCAAGAATGCTTGCTTAGCTGGGGTCTGGTTGGGTGCCTGACCTCCACGTCCTTTCGGGCACTGTGGATCCCCACTCCAATGTCCAACTTGACCACATTTCATACACCTCGATTTGCTCTTGATCTCCTGAAGGCGCTTTTTCCTATCCTCAATGCTCAAGTTCGACTTGACGACTGGGAATCCTTTACCTTTTCCTTGGGATTTCCCTTTTCCTGCCTTGCCCATGACGACATTTGCAGCCAATTGTAGCTGAATAGCCTCTGCCGCTGCTTCTGGGTAAGCATCTGGGTCACACGATTCAATGACGTTCAGCGCGGTTGCAATGTCTTCATCAGATACATACTCTTCTCTCTCTTGATTGTCTGGGGTATACGCTGGGTATGCTTGGGGGTTTTCACCATGCTCTCCATACCACCATTCATTCGGATCGGTTTCTCCCCAATGCTCTGCTAGGTATCCCCAATGCTCGTACTCTGATCCACTTGGTTCTCCATAATACTCCGCATGTTGACCCATCTCTTCGGCTGCATACGCTCTCCACGGTGACTGCTGATTGTAAGATGGCTTCCCTGAAGATCCTTTGCCGAATCCCTTTGGGCCAAACTTACCTTTGTCCCTGCCGAAGTCCTTGGAACCGAACTTGCCTGGCTCCTTGCCCTTTCCTTTGCCAAATGGGTCCAATAAGCGGTTGTCCCTCAAGTGAATGTTTCCATGATGCTCAATCATGATTCTAGCAAAACTCTCGAAGCTGTTGTCACCTCCTGCGCAAGCCTTAATCATTAGCTGCTGATCCTTGGTAAGTCCACTTAGCTCCAGCATGAGTTCTGCTCTAAGTCCGTCACTCAAGCTTATTCTGGGATCAAGCTGTTGCATCAACTCCCACCACCTTCTTCGGCGTGAGATGTAGCTGACGATACTCTCACCACCTTGTCTTGACAGTGGGCCGTACTGGGCCTGGCCACTGCGAAAGAGTGCCTGTGCTTCAAGGGTTCCCAAAGGAAACACCATGCGCTTGATCTCTTGAATTAGCTTTCTCAAACCTCCCGGAGATGACAATGTCTGAACACCCAAGTCCTTGGCCCTCTGAAATGCATCTCCTCGCAGTCCCTCCATGACACGCAAGGTAGCATCCAACCACTGATCTTTCTCACTCTCTCCATCGGAATCTTCGGACCCTGACTCGTGTTCCTTCACCTTCGGGATCTCACTGGACGTGTCTGACACTGGGCCACGCTCCAAGTCAGCCTCACGCCCTTTCGTCGGGGACCGCTCTCTCTTCCCCGTCTCAGGCTTGCTTGACGACGAGAAAGATTCGCTCTTCTTCTGCTTCCGTTCTCTACGGTCCTTCTTGATTCTCTGCTCACATGCAACGATACGCAGTTCCGTTCTGAACTCCCATTCGTGATACGCTTCTGGAGTGCCACTGTAAATGAATACTCCATTCTTTGTCACTATGGGGGCCGTTGCATACGAACCCTGCTGGTACCTTAACCCTGCGACTGTCATGGTAAGGCACACTCCTCCAGCCACACCAACCAAAGGAATATCACACTGCTTGCTTCCACTGTGTTACACCTTCCCCAGCCAACACGGTCTGAGGCAATACAACGGAGAACTGGCTTCCCAAAGGCCCTGCTGGAGCTTCACCCTGCAATTGAGGGCTCAGCTCCGCTACCAATTTGGTAGCAAAGCGCTTCGGACAGCTACTTTTTTGCCAGCTAGCTCAAGGCGCCTTCGAGAGGAACGTTACGGTCAGCACATACAATTGATGTTTCCTACCGCACTAGCACTTTACAATGAAGGCTTCCTAGGCATGCGCTCAGGCTACACATCGCAAAACGAGGAGGTATTCTCATATAATATAATATAATATAATATATTGTATTATTAATATATATATATATATATATATATATATATAATGTAGGGCTGCCACTCCCCCCCCCCCCCCCCCCCCCCCCCCCCCCCCCCCCCCCCCCGCCCCCTGTGGTGCGCCAGCAGCATGCGTCCCTTGTGGTTCTCGCGCCCACGCTTCACGTTAATGCTGCCCGGCATACGGCCTTGCTGGCCCTTCGCCGCACTGGCGGGATCACCACCCAAGGCCTTTGTGAGCTCCTGGGTCACATAAACAGCCGTTGGTCCTGAGGACCTGAGGTGTAGCGGTTGCGCTTGTAGCACCAGACCACTGTTCCCCGATGTTTACATTACTAGCACTCCCGTCCAAATATCTCATAAATGACTTTCAAGTCGCAGGCTTCGTCAGGTCTTGTAAGCAGGCCGTGAAACTCGGCATCGCGGCAGCACGCCTTCATCGCGGCAGCACGCCTTTACTTACTCCATGTCATACCCAAGCCTCACCCGCTTCGCAGCGGGAGCCGCCAAGGCCTGCGCCAGTCTCGAAGAGCACAAAGGCGCTGAAGGCTCCGGCGGCTTCGGCCATTCTTCTACCACTGTGCAGCTCGCAATCTCCACGATGTTGTCGATGCTTTCGAAGCGGACAAGATCGCTGCTAGTGCGGTATGCTAGCCGCGACCAGAACTCCTTTCGGCGGTCGTGCGGGTTGGAACATGCTTGGCAAAGCTGATTTTTTGGCATAAGAAGCAGCATTCCAACGAGCCATGGTCTTCCGATCCATGCCAGTGACTTCTGTGATGGTCTTCACCGATGCTGGGGACTCCAAGTTACAGATTACCGTCATCGAACGATCTTGGCTTGGTGCGTCGGCCCTTCTCCTTCCTGAAAAAACCCACGTGACTAACCGATCTTCTTGCAATAAACGAAAGCTGATGAGATGGCTAACCAAGTATAAGATGCAGTACAGGGCTCCTGCCTACGCGAGATGTATCGATCCAGATAATTAATGGCGTGCTCGAGGACGTGGGGCAGGCTGGGGGCCACGATGTGGTTCAAAGCGCAAGACGCTAGGCTCTTGAGCGTCCTGGGCCAGTCCTGGATCGTGCTGGCCTGGAACGTTTGGTCCGCAAGCTCAGGCTCATGCCCTCAATCCTAAATCCCAGAGACTGGACCCTGAACCCTAGCCTTAACCTCTAACTGCCCAAGCAATGCAGCCACGTCTCCTCCAAATTTAATTGGCGTTAATTCTTTATCACTATTCTTGCTCAGGGTTCCTTACTGCTATATTGACAATGTATAACATACAATACACCATATCCCGAGTCTCATAACTTACGGGGTAGCAGAGACTATCTGTAGGAGGGATTACAGTGCTGGAACGAGTGAAGGAGCTGGAGGGAACGGCCTTTGCAAACGCATTCCTCTAACCAAACCCGAAACCTTAGACTTGCACCGGAACCCTACACCCTGAAGCCCTAAACTTTGCCCTAAACCTGTTCACTTCTGAACTCTGAACCCTACTTCTCTGAGTGTGAAGCTATCAAACCAGGGCACGAACGGGCAGCCGTTTTAGCACCAGGCCACTGTTTAAGAACCGGTTTCGCCCCTTGTGGGCTCGTTCAGCTTTCTGGCCCTTGTGCCAAAAGCTGCCGTGACATGTCGTCTTGATGCTCGTCGTGAATTGTTTTAAATTTAAATTTAAAACACAGACCCTCACCACCCACCCTGTCTGTGCAAGAGCTACTGGTCTCGACTGGGCATAAGCCAATTGTCGACAAAATGATGCTTGAACACATTGGGCTGTACGGTATATGCCAAGCTCAAAGAAATTGGATCTTTGAAACAACGTTGCAAATCGCTAGCGTGCTTCTTCAAGCAGCTGTTGATTACATGGCTGGGAACTGAACGGCTGTACTTGATGAACATAAAGAACTTCTTGGACTTCTTGATCTCTGGAGTCTTTCTTCGGCCATTCTGCAAACAAAGTTGTATGGAACGCCACACATCCATGTAAGAATGACCTCTCATTGCGAGCCTCTTTGCGAAGAACCTCAAATGCTTGATCAAGTTGGTTTTGCTGCTGTTGGTTCGCAGCAAACGGCACACTTCACCCCGGATCGTACTGGCATACACTGATCTTGGATGGCAGCTGGCGGCTGGCACATACAAGTAACTATTCAACTCTTTGCGATGGGTTTGCCACTCCATGCGCCCGTCTATGTGTGACAACTGTAGGTCGAGAAAAGCGACAGCGTGATCCCCATGCTGTAAGCGGCCTCCTCGACTTGTAATGTCCCACTTAAGCTCGGGCTTCCATGAACTCAAGGTGTTGTGTACATCATCCACACATGCGGCACAAACCACGGAGTCATCGACTAAGCGAGCATAGAAAGCAATTTCATCGCGATGGGTATTGTACACGATCCTGTCAGCTTGTCCCACATAGAGATTTGCGAGGAACACACCCGGCGGTATGCCGGTAGCGACGCCAAATGCTTCATAACATTCCCCACGGTGCGTCACGTACTGGTTTCTGAGCAAGATCTCAAGAAGCTGACAGATGAATCTGGATTTTTGGTTTTCGCCGTAGTGTAGCCTGACGGAATGTTGTACTGAAATGATCAAGTCGTCAGTGTTGATGCTTGGATACAGGTTTTGAATGTCGATGGTGGCGATCTCGTAGTTGCTGGGTACCTGAATTGGCATGCGTTTGAGAAACTCATTGCTGCTTGCAACCGCGAAGTCCAACGATTGTTGTATTGGCATCAGCTGGTCGCAAAGATACAAGCTAGCAGACGTGAGCCAAGAATGTGAAAGATTCGCAATCGGACGTCCTTTCATAGGCACCTTGTGCAACTTCACTCGCAGCCGAAATGAACCTTCGCCCGCTGTGAAGAGATTCTGGGTGATGAGATGTACTTCGCGTGATGTTAGGACACCTGCTTGCTTAGCGCGTTCGGCAACTAATTCAAGCGTAGATCTTGCCTGAAACGCCTTGCCAACATACTCCTGGCGACTGAGCTTTCGAAATCCTGTGTCAAGCAAACGCTGCATCTCGTCTTCTACCCATTGCCTTGGCATCATTACGTCGCCCAATCCTTTGTCTGCATCAACAATGATCATGCAGCGCCGATGCTTCTTGAGCCATTGGCGTGCTTTGGTGTCCAACCATGTGAGGTTTCTGGAAGGCTGGCGATCAACGTATCTTGCACACAAGGTGCGCTTGACACGTCTCACGAACCTGCAAACGGCTTCATTCTCAGGCGGGACCCAAGTAGAAACTGATGATCGCGTAGATCGGCTGAGATTGGATGGTTTCGGCCTTTCTGTTGAGTCCAACGCCTCGAAGAACTTTGCAATATGAAGTCTGCGCTCTAGATTATCAAGACTGTGATACACATGCGGAATAGAGCATCGAAAGCGGTCGGCAATGAACTTGCCGCCCTTGTTCAAGTACAGCTTGACATAATCCGGCACTGAGAACGTTGATGGCATGCATGAATGAACGTAAGTGCCACGAATTCTTGTAGCCAAAGTCTGCAACGAAGTTCTAGAAGAACGGCTAATACAAAACGAAAGAAAGACAATCTTTGACACTGAAAAATCCCAGTAGCTTCTGCATCTTCGTCTTGCGTCGGATGCAGTTTGGATGGGAGGGCGCAACCGTCAAATACGGCTGCCATTGAATCGCACTTGTTTTCCTCGTCCTCGTCCTTTGTCGGAAGCCTTGCCCTTGCGGCCACCTTTGCCTTTTCCTTTCCCTTTTCCTTTGCCCTTGCCTTCATGCGAAGAATGCGCCGAGCCTCTTCTCGATGATGTTGATGGCTTGCGCGAGGTCGGCTTTGAAGTAGACTTCCTCGATGAAGACCGCGACGATGCGCGAGATGAATGCTTGGAGGTACTACGACCCCGTTTGGTGAGCGAAGATTTACGAGGGTAGGGAGTTGGTGATCTTCGGGCAGCTGGCTTACCCTTGTTTGGAAGAGAAACCACGAACTTGACGCTGAAGTGTTGCTCCAATTCGGGGTATTTGCGAATCAATGCTGCAAGCTCACTAGACTTGCATAGAACAACCTCTTTAATCTTTGTGCCATCAGCTTGTTTCATCACGACTGCCTGCTTGTCAAGCTCAATCATCGCGATCAGCTGTTGGGGATCCATCTGCTCGAACTTTGTCTCGGCTTCGATCACAGCTGCTTCCCGCTTAGCGCGAGTGGCTTCTGCATCCTGAAGTCGGCTTCTGACTTTGGGAACTTCTTCGCGAAGTACCAAGTCGACAAAGTGTGTGCAACTGCGTTCGGCCTGGGCTATCACATGTGACGTTAGCAAGCTGGCGTTATGTGTCTTCCACTCTGTCCACAAATCAGAGACGTCTCGCATTGCAGACTGAAGAGACACACGCTCCTCGAAGAAAGCGAATGCACGTTTTTGGTGCTCGGCTATGAAGCTTTGACACTCAAGTGCATGCTTGCGTCGAAGTGAAAGCCATGCGGCGTTGATGTCATACTGCATGTCGGCATCCAAACCCTCATCGATGTCACCCACTGGCTTTGCAATTGCTTCGTAATGTTTGGGCCACTGCCACTTGCGATTGCTTTCTTCTTGAAACTGCTTCATAATGTCACCGTTTCCGATGATCTTGGAGTACTTGTGATGAAGCTCGGAGTGCGTAGCCCAATCTCCCAAGTCCTTGCGGAAACCATGTCTCCACTTCTGCAGCTCAGATCGCAGACTGGGGTCAATGGAATCGAGGATCTGTTGCGGACTCTGGAACACACGGGCCTCCTGTTGTCGTTCAGAAGTCTGGGCACGAAGCAATGCAGTTTGTTCTTGAAGCAATGCAATTTGTTGAGCCATGAGAACCGTAACATCGGGAGGCAACGGATTGTTGGGGGACCCGCCCCTGAGTCTTCCTGCAGCAGTAAATAAAGGGTCTCGCGTCATAGAGCGAGATCTCGAAAGATCTGCTGCACTGATGAGACTGGGCCGGTCAGACCTACGCAGTGCTGGATTGGCTGATGTTTCCATGGCGACGCTTCACAAGAATGTACACACACTTCTCTGAGTGTGAAGCTATCAAACCAGGGCACGAACGGGCAGCCGTTTTAGCACCAGGCCACTGTTTAAGAACCGGTTTCGCCCCTTGTGGGCTCGTTCAGCTTTCTGGCCCTTGTGCCAAAAGCTGCCTTGACATGTCGTCTTGATGCTCGTCGTGATGTGTTTTAAATTTAAATTTAAAACAAGTCCCTGAACCCCCCAACCTTAACGGACATCGAAAGAAGGCTGTTGTAGGGGCTTGAGTGAATATCAGACAGCGATTAAGTCCGGGACACTCCAAGAACGCAACCGCAAAGCCCCTACCCCTCAAACAAGCATCACCGTAATGTCGGGGTCTTATATATATATGTATATATATATATATATATATACATATGTGTATATATATACATATGTATATATATATATATATATATATATATATATTTAGAAATTATATATATATATATATATATATATATATGTACACATACACGGTCCCCCCCGAATCCATGCCCTCAGCCCGTGCTGCAGGTACCATCCACGGTCGAGCACATGAACGAGCTCTTCCTTGCTTCCTTTGGTTTGTGTCCTTTTCTTTGGTGTGCGTGTCCAGTGAGTCGGCTGTTCGTCTCGTCGTGTGCGTGTGCATGTGCATGCATATGCAACTGTACGTGAAATATGACATATACTTGTATGTGCGAGTGACAACGAAACCAGAGGTCGCACATTCTTCGAGACAGTCCCAAAAACATGAAAAAAAACAGAGCCCATAGGCCACGTGTTTGGCGAGCTGGGACTGTTGTCTTCAAGGGTGTTGCATTCATCTAAACCCGAAAAGTCCCTAAACCGAAGCCTGCAGCAATAAAACCTATCAGCCCTAAATCCCTTCTGGCACTTGAAAAAAACATTGGCCTTTTCTCTGCCCCCACCCTTCCGATAGGCGTAGCCTTCACCACGTGCGAAGGCAGCCTTGCCAAAATTGCGGAACGGCCTCTGCAGCCTAAACGACGTTGCAATCCAGCACCTGTGCTCTGCCTTGCAGTTTCCTAGACCCTGGCTCCAGGAGCCGACTGAAAGCAGACGCTCTGATGAACCTCTAGTCAAATCAAAAACTAAATCCATACTTGCATATACACGAATAATTAAATCAGAAACTAAATCCATGTTTGCTTGTAAACGAATCTGAAAATTTGCTGGCCGCACCTGACCCCGCGCGCCTGAAAAAGGCACACAAAACTGCGAAAGCCTACCACTCATTCACCCATTCTCCTACGGAGCCCGACATGTGCAGATAATCCCAAACCATCTAGAACCCGACAAACTCCATATACGCCCCGAGCCTGAAACACCAAAGCCTCAAACCTTAGTACAAACTCTACCTCAGCCTAAGTGAACTTTGAAGAAGAAGTATCAACCGTACATTCCATGACAAGAGCACCAGGTGTTGAATAATTGCGATGGCCAAAGCAGCCGGGAAGTCGCAGTGCTGGAGCGGGCTTGTCGAAAGCTTTGGGTTGTCGCTTAGGGCTTACCTTAACCCGGGATAACCTTCCTTTTTAGGACTTATAGAAGGAAACCACAATAAGGAACCCTAAAAAGGTAGTTTATTCAGGGTTAAGGTAGGCTTGAAGGGATTTTTTTCGCAGTCTAGGGCTTAGGGAGTCACCTTTCGGGTGAGGCACGGTGGGATCTCCTCTGGCAGAGAAATACGAACAACTGCGGCTCTCGCACTGCGATCCGAGCTCTCATGCCTAAAGCCACGTGGTGCGGCACAGCTTCCAAAATAGGCTCTGGTTTTCGGGGCCTCGGATGTGTTGCATCTCGAGGAGTATAACTCGGGTAAGGATGTTGCGAGCGACATGAGCTTGTGCTGCAACTGTGGATTTGAAGAGGACGGCGGCAGTGGCCATATTAATTGACCACACCTGGTGTATGTATTTAACATCCCTCAACCCTAAACCCTAAACTCCTAAACCCGATGTTCACACCCTCGCGATGCCATGCTTACTACGTGGGATCGCATCATATATTGACCAAAACCATGCCCTGTACCATGAGCCTTAATTGCCCTAAGCCAAAATGGCCTTAGCCCTTCGTGGGGGCTGGGACGCCTTCTCATTTTTTGACTTCGGCTATGACCCGTCTCGTGCGGAGCTGAGGCTCGGAACCCCAACCCTCGACCCCTAAAGACCTCGACACTCCAAACTCCATCAAAGCTCCTGATCACCCCGCGCCTGAAGCTTCCGACACCTCTACTTGGAGGTTCATGGGTAATTAGCTATAAGCAGGGCTATAATTAACTGGGGTAACTTTACTTATAACCCTGGTTAATTAGGGGACATATAACCCTACTTATAACTACCGCTGAGCCTCCAAGTAGCTTCGCTTACACTCCTACACCCGAGCATGACGCGTTGTGCCACGTTGCCCTGCTTTGATTTTGGGAGCTGCGCATGCCGGACGATTCTTTTCTCGAAAGGCGCAGCTCTGATCTACCCACGGAAAAGCAACGACAGGTACAGGCTGATATGGGGCCTTAATCATGATAACAGCGTTTGGGGGTGCCGCACATATACTAATAGTTATATTAACTCAAGTTCTACATTGTATGCTAAGGCTTCAGGGTTTGACAGCGGAAGAGCAGATTCCACAACACTGTGCACTGCTGGCACTGCAATGGGGACACCCCTTGGGGGTGTGCCACTGTAAGCTGCGTGCCCCAAAGACATTATCAACCCAGCAAGTGGCTCATGGTGATGCTTCTAGGGTGCTTAAGGGCGCCTGTGTTAGTGCTTGAAGGTGGTTTAGGGCTTAAGGTTTAAGATTTAAGGCTTAGGTTGCGGCTCAGGAGTGACATTCTTCGTCCAGGAGGAGCTTCAGCGCCAAGTTTGAAGCTACAGCCCCGGAACCCTCAACCCTAACTAGACTCTACGTTGAACTACCATAACTTCAAGTCGGTTCTCATTATGAACCCTAGTAGTTGGAGGTTAAGGTGATCGCTATAGCCCCTAGTAAATGGCTGGCAGCCGACTCAGGAGCTGTACGCTCCAACTGTGCACAGCTCTCTTGAGCTCCCAAAGATACATGGAGGCACATGGGGATGCAGATGCAAAACAAGGGACAGGGTTCGGGCTCTAGCTCCAAGGGTTTAGGGTTGAGGCTTCTTTGCTGATTTAGCTGATTTAGCCAATTTTCGCTCACTGTCGTAGATGTCTACGTCTGCAGCACAGTGCTTGCAGGCCCAAAAACGTTATATTTGCCCAAAACCTCACATCCAAAGCCTCGAGAAACAGTGCACGGGCATGGCGAAAGCTTGAGGGAATGTTTAACACCCCGAATAAACACCCCTAAGCCCTAAAGCTCTGACAAGCTCCGGACTACATTTAGGCTTTATAATCCCTAGAACCTAAACGCGAAAGCCTCGTGCTTAAACCCTACATACACCGTGAACCCTAAATCCCAAAACCCTAAAAACCCATACCTTCTTCAATTCTAAACCTGACTCATAAGTGACCATGGGCCTCCACGAATCTTCTGAACTCGAACCGCGCCGGATGAGCATTTAAATTTTAGGGTTATATGGCTGAGGGTGCGGAAAGGAGGTCGGATTTTGATGTTCTGGGATATTTGGGGGCTTTTTTTGAGGGTTTGGGGTTGCAAGAGGTTAGGACAGCAGGGCGGTTTTTGTTCACTCCTCTCGCACCTTTGGCAGCTGAGAAGGACTCGCTGGAGGACGGCTGCCGCCACTTGGTGACCTCCGGCAAACGAAGACAGCTTTAAACATGCTGCAGCAGTTATCTACTGCTGATGCTGATCATAGTGATGCTGCTGATGGCTACTTCTTGCTTGTCATGGAACTTGGTTTTTCGGTCCAGGCGATGATGATTGTGGTGGTGGTGCTGGTGCTGCTGCTGATGTTCGCGCCGATCCTGACGGTGCTGATGCCAGTGCCTTTGTCATTGAATTGGTACTGGTACTGGTGTTACAACCAGTATCACGTCTGGCACTGGCGCACAACGAGGACACACCACCTCGACGAGGACGACACGTGCTGCTTCTTCTGCTGCTCCTGTACTAACACCTAACGCCACCAACAACAAGCTCAACCACCGCCAACCGCCAACGCCAACACCAACGCCACCACCACCACCACCACCACCACCACCACCACCACCACCACCGCCACCACCACCACCACCACCACCACCAAACCTGCCACTGCCACGATCACGACCGCTGCAAGTCTACAGCCACACCATGTCGCTGCCACCGCCACGGCCGTTGTCGGGCACGCGATCCCTTCTTCGTATAAAATAGTCGCCTTGATATTTACTAGCGGCTAGCGTTTGGGATTTATAGTCCATAGCAAGACACCCTACAGAACTGTGGTGGGCTTTTTAGGCAGCTGTGGTAGGCCCGCGGCGGAGCGTCCCTTCCCCGTCTGGCGAGAGCCGGCTCGGTCGGGTGCCTTGGCACACAGCTTAGGGTTTAGGGGATTCGGGTGTAGAGCTTTAGGTTTCGGGGTTTAAGGGGCTTTGGGTTTCTGGTTTAGGCTATAGTAGTTGGGGTCCAGGGTTCGGGCTGAGTTGAGGGTTTAGACTTGCGGTTCGAAAGCATTGGAGTGGGTTGAGGCTTGGCGGTTCAAGTCTGCAGGGCTTCTGGCCGCATGCTATGGCAAAGGTGTTACAGAACGACCCGCATGTAGACCATGCTCGGAATGCAGATGATGGCATGGCTGCTGATTCGGTCATGATGATAATTAACCAGCAGCTGTTTGCAAACTGCCAACCACGTAGTCAGTGCAACACAGAAACAACAATCGCAATGCTGTGAGTACTTGGGACGACGACGAATCAAACAGCAGTCGCAATATGGAGAAATGAGAACTCTAAGCCGCAAAACCGAAATCCTAGACCCGAATACCCAACGCTGAAGACACCCAAACTAGCATCCGTATCTTCGGCTTCAAAGAACACTGTGAGAGTTGATTCTGCCCCGCAATCTGAAGATCGAAAGAAACAAGAAAGGAGCTCTTAAGCGGGACTCCGACAGGAACCGCGTAGAATCTTCTAACACGTAACCCTTAAGGACACCGCAAAGCAAGCCAACACGATTCTGCGTGCTGGTGGATTTAGGTTGTGAACCTATAGGGTTTCTGGTGTTTGGGGCTCTGGGTCTAGCATGTCGATGCATCTTGAGATGTAGATTTGGCATCGTAGCCACTCCTCAACCAAATTCTGATGCTATAGGCTGCAGAATTCCTGGAGAGTAGGAGATTCGAGTTGAGGTAATTTGGGTTCAGGGTTCAGGGTCTACGGCTGCTGAGGTAGTGAGTGACAACAATTCCTCCAGCTGAGCTACGGCCGTTAACCACTCCAGATCACCCGAACATCGCAATGCCCAATAAAAACCTTGCACACCCCGAAGCCCCAGTATTGCACTAAGTAAGTCTTATCAAGAGCCCAGACCAAAAACGAACCTCCGGGTCCCGGGGGCCGTTGCAGCTTTCGTGGCGGGCTCGCCGGGACACTAAGATGCGGCGTGGTCGGCCTTTGGGACAAGCAGCTCGGCTCCATGATAGGAGCTTTTTGAACTGAAGGGCCCCTAACACGAGAAGCCGTATCAACCCTGCCTCCAGCTCTTTTATCGATCATGCAGCCCGGAACCCTACATCCCCAAGCCCGAAGCCTAAACCCTATAAGCCACAACTATCGAAACCTAAACGAAACACTTGCTAACACCTTCATCACTCAATCGCCTCAAAAGCCCCGAAGGCTGAAACCCTAAAGGCTGAAATCACACCAATACCCTCCCTCCAAGACACCGGAAGGAGTCCCGAACTCTTCAGCCTTCTCCAACCCTATTTGTAAAACAAGGTCGGGCATTAACAATTGGAACGGGGCTTTGGGCTCTTTTATATTTCCAGGGACATAAGGAACCCGAAGGATGAATGCTGGTGATGGTTGTTGTTTAGACTTCTATATTACCTACATTCCCCAAACTTGCACCCTACAAGACTACGACCCGTCATCCAAGCTCCTGATTACTGGACACTTTGAACCCTCAAGGGAAACCCCAAGAAAACCACATGCAAGACTGGCTGATAAGCTACATACTAATGATGAAGGCCCCGGCAAACACAGAAAAACTGCTGATACCAAAAAGGAACTCAGCAACCCCGAGGCTTCCCAAAAGGAAGCCCCCTGCACCCTACTGTATACCCTGGACCCCAAGCCCTACATCCCTAAACCTTACAGCCCTGAACCATTAATCCCTGAACTCTAACTTATCCCCAAACCCGGATCCCTCTTCCCAAAAACGTTAAAGTGAACCCCAGAAAGTTGGAAGAAGGATTTCGGATGAATAGTGCTAGGATCCCCTAAACCTTACGTTAAGGGCAGGAGTAGCCCTTACAGCGTCACAAAGAAAATTTTAACCAAACGAAATCACAAATTCATGGAGAATGACGTTCCAAAATTTCTGGCTCCATTATACTATACCCAAAATAGTATTGGAAACTACTAAGGCCCCGATACTACTACCCCCAAAGTAGCCCTTATAGTAATTAACCCTTATAGAACCCTTCTATAAGACCCCTTTAAAGGAACCCTATTCTGATTATCAAGGCCCCGTTTTCTTACGAGGAAGCCGCGGGGCCTCTGGGGCGACGAGGTCCAGGTGGCCGTGCGCCGGAGGCTCCCGCGCGAGGCCCGCGAGCCGCGGGACTGCGTGAGCGTTATAAGGCTCAATGGGTTTAGGGTTCAGGGTTTAGGGTCTAGGCTTTAGGGGTTTAGGGTTCAGGGTTTAGGGTCTATAGGGTTTCTGGGTTTGGGGTTTTGGGGGTGGTGGGGTTCGTGATTTGTTCCAGAGATTTTGGAGATTTTGGACTTCCAAGATGCTTATGTAGCTATAAGGGTTTGTATGAAGCATTTTTATGTTCAGAAGGATCGTGGCACCGCTTAGAGATCGCAACATGTGTGTTCATCACGCAAGTGGGCTCTCTCGGGAGTAACCGAGTAACCATTCAACAGCAAGCCCTAAATCCTGACACGCATGGCTCAAGACACGAATACCACGAGAGATTCGGAAAGTACGGCAACCTTCTACACAGTGATCGTTATTACGAGGAGCCATGGAAAGGGCCCGCAAATGAATTGAAACCCACAGATACTGGAAAGCCACACCGGTGCTGACTGCATACATCAAAGTCCGATCGCGCTACAACCTAGGAGCAAATGCGGTAGGAGATGATTCAAAAGTAGATCCCCTATACTACTAAGGGTACTGTATAGGAACCCCCCTTAAGGGAAGACTATCCTGCTCCACGTGACATGAACGACAGATTGAAGATCATCATGAAGGGGAACAGTCTAAAGCCTCCTACCCGCAAGATTCCGAAACGCACCCACTTGGCGAAGACCAAAGCCTCGCGACATACTCTAAGATAGAAACAGGACCGAGGAACACTAATCTATGAGAAACCCAAAATCCTTGCACCCGATAGAAGCCTCATAGAGCCCTTGTAGCAACCATACTCCGGTTGACTTCAGGAAAGCCTTTCTAGCTGGCAGCTTGAGGCCAGTATTTTAGGGGCCCCAAAAAAGTAGAATAGGGCTTTGGGACTCATTAAACCATAAATACAATAAGGAACCCGCAAAAGAGTATAGGTACTTATTAAAGCGCAGTAGACCTGAAGCCTTACCATCACTACAGCCTTTGTTCGGGCTGGGGGGATGAGGGTTTGGGGAAGAGTGGGGGTTAGGGGATTAAATTTGCAGGGCTTAGGCAAGCTTAGCCTAGCAAATGCTTAAGAATAGTAAGACTGAAGAAGGGCCGAAAGAACGGTTTGAAGCCTTAGGATTCATCGGACTCCATACTCCAACTTCCGCACTCTAGCCTAAACCAGTGCTAGCTTTAGACCCGAAGATCGGCCGTGACCGATCCTCCAAGTAGGACTGTTGAGGCCCACACCCTCAACCCTACACTGTACCTACACACAAACCCTAAACCTTTCAAAAACGCCTCAACCCTACCCTACACCCCCGAACCCCCTAAACCCCAAACCACCAAACCCTAAACCCATAAACCCCTCAACCCTAAACCCCTAAACCCCTAAATCCCAAACCCCTAAACCCCTAGACCCCCGAACCCTAAACCCATAAACCCCTCAACCCTAAACCCAACCCCTAAACCCCAAACCCCTAAACCCCTAAACCCCTGAACCCCCAAACCCTAAACCCCAAACCCCTAAACCCCTAAACCGCTTAAACCCCCTAAACCCTAAACCCCCTAAACCCCAAAACCCTAAACCCCTAAACCCCGTAAACCCCTAAACCCCCAAACCCCTAAACCCTAGGCAGGGGCGGCCTGGTCGAGGGGTGACTCCACGAGATCCATCTCAAGCTCGGGCGGCCGTGGCTCGGCCTCAGAGGTGTTATACTTGCAGTATGGATCATGGGACTTAGTAACAAGGGTTATTATTGGGGTAACTATACTTAAAATTACTTGTAACCCCAGTAACGGGCCCCGAAACCCTAGTCGTATTAAAAAAGGCCAATACTCTTTATAGCTATGCTTTGTTTTGTCCAAAGACCCAGTTCTAGTTATTGAGGCTTCGTGTTCCTTTTAAGCAATCTAGGTCTCGGGACTGTCAAGGTTTTCAAGGTGCGATCTACATCAGGGTATAGAGGTTTAGGGATTTCGATAGTTTTGTTGCTTAAACCTGTAGTATAATGGGCCCCGAAACCCTGTTCTTACTATTAAGGCCCATATGTTAGGCTGGGCCGAGAAACCCTAGTCTTATTATTAAGGCCCATAGATGAGGCTAAGGGTTTACCAGCATCCCTCTCGTACCCTTTAATAGAGGCCTTTTGGTCAGTGATACGGCTGATGATATGAATCCTGCATTACCCATAATGAGGACTATACCATAATTTCATATTACTTTAGGGTCCTTAAGGTAATGCAGGATTTATATCATCAACAGAAGAACTCCGCTTAAGCGAAGGAACTCCATGGCTTCGTCGAGTTTAGGGCTTAGGGCTTAGCAGTTAGCCATTTAGCTCAGAGTTGAGGGTTCAGGGTTCAGGGATTAGAGTTTAGAGTCTAGGGTGCTGAAACCTGGGAATAAAACCGGGTTTCCTGTTGGTAATGGGTAGTTTTGCCAGGAACCTCAGACCCAGAAAGGGAAAAAAACACCCACCGGGAGGCGTCAATAAGGGCTTAGGAGTTTGCAGGCAGGGTTTGTACTTGCTTTTTGAGTCTGCCAGGTAGGATTGCTAAGAGTTTATGAGTGCTTGAGACAATTTTGTAGAGCTTGTATAGGGCACTTCTTGCTACAGGAACTGAGAGACGCTGCTATCGGTGGGATAAAGGGTCTCTACCGTTTGTGTAGTATACCTATATGCGTTCCTTAGATTAGTTGTATGATCTGCGCACAGAAGCACTTCAAACATCACAAGGCAAGTGACCGCAAGCCTCAACCCTCAAAAGCAACACCCCAATCCGTAGACACTGGACTCTAAACCCTACTGTAACTGCCCGAAACCCAAACTCGAAGACCATTTTCGTGTCTAGCGTCGAGGCCCAAACATGCCCAAACCTTAAACTCGAAGGACCCGAAGCCCCGGAAGCCCTAAACCCAAACCCAAGATCTTGAAAGCCTAAGATACCTTAACCCAAGTCCGAAAACCGCCAACCCTTCAATCCCTAAACACCAAAAAACTGACTTGGTGGAGTCCTCTCAACCCCGAACACTATTATAGCACCCTCCACTGTAGGGGCTTTAATAACCAGAATAGGGTTTTGGGACCCCTTGTACTACAATGATTAGAAGGAACCCCCGAAATTGTTTTGATATTTCTTTTAAGCCCCTATAGTGAGTGGATCACCGAAAGCAACCCCGGTGCCTTCCGCTTCGGCCCTCGTGCAGGCGCCCGCTCCGCGCGCAAGGCCGGCCCAGGAGCGGCAGCCGCGGCCGTGCTGCCCTCGGTCTTTTAAGGGGTTCTGGCTCTAGGAATAGTGGGTTTAGGGTTTAGGGTTAAGGGGTTCCTGCTTTCGGAATAGTGTGTTGTAAATGAAGGGTTGCAGACTTTGGGGCTTGGGAGGGTTTAGGGCTCCGCAGGTGTCGGGGTTTTGGGCTTAAGGACTTTTCGTTGGGGATTGGGTGCTTATGAGCTTTAAGGGCTCTACATTTTATGGAGCTTAGTTTAGGGTTCTTGGGAAAACTTGTTGGGAGGGGAAGGCAGAGGGCGGAAGGTGCGGGCGCTTGAGTTTTACAATCCTTCCTGTTTTGGCCTTCGGAATTTTGGGTTGTATAGGGTGGAGGATTTAGGGCTCTGGCTTTAGAACATTGGGGCGGAGGTGCGATGGAGGGCATAACCTTCTCGTGGCTGCCATGGCCTATGACTTGAAGGAATCATACAATTACTGCATGTCCTTGCCTTCTGTACATAAACATGGCAATACAAGAACGTCAGTCCGGAACAGAAACTCTAAACTGCTGCTGCTTCTGAAAGGCCCTGTTACCGGTGTATTGTTTAGAGCTTATGAATGTCACGATCGTTTGTCAGACTGCTGACAATCACTGCTGTGCGACAGGAGTCCAAAGAATCGGTAGTAAGTAGAATGAACCCTAAACCCTAAACCCTAAACCCTAAACCCCAAAACCCTGCTCCAACACTCAGGCCTGAGAATAGTTCCTTTCCTGTAGCCTGAGTCCTCTGTCGGTCCTAGGGTTTATAGGGTTTAGGGGCTTAGGGTTTAGGGGTTTAGGGGTTTAGGGTTTAGGGTTTAGGGTTTTGGGTTAGGGTTTCCCTAAGCCATCAAGTGCAAGTGCCTAGGCCTAGACAAACCAGAAACCCGAAGTTTTGGCTCGAAGCATCGCACGATAAAGCTCGACGCTCTTTAAGGTACAAGTAAGAGGCACACTTATGATCTACAGGAAGGTCTGATACGTGTGTTCCAAATATTACTTACACTTCGTGGAAGATCTGGCAAAGATAGTCTCCATTGCTACTCTCCTATCCTCATACCCGACCACATACCCTCTGTCCCTGATGAGACCCAAGGACCTAATAAACCCCAGGATCTGCACAGCCCCGAAAGCCTGAACCTTTTCGGCTGAAATCCTGAACCCCTGTTGAACCCAGGCGGCACACCCCTTACACAGAAAGTCTTGCTGGAAGCCCGAAGCACTAAAGCCAAAAGCAGTTAGACACCCCCAAGAACTTAAGCCCAAAACCAAGGAACCCTAAACCCCAAAACCCCTAAATCCCCTAAACCACGGAACCCTAAATCCTAAACCCTGAAAACCCCTCAAACCCCAGAACCAAGGAACCCTCATAGAGCCCAAAAAAAGCACATAAGCAAAAATGAGGGTAGGGATATCCCATGTAAGGATATGCCCATGAAAGGCGTCTGCTTATGTGCATTTTGGGTCCCCTATTTTTCGGAAACTCCTAAACCCTTATAGAGCCCTTGAAAGGAACCCTTAAAGGTAATTACCCTTATAGTAGGTACCCTTTAAAGGAACAATTAGGGTCCCCTCCCTAACCTAAACTTCGCTGAGCCCGTCGCAGGTGGTCTGGTCTTGGAGCCTCCGCGAGCGCGCTCGGGCAAGGTGCCTGCAAACATCTTCAGAACCACATGGGAGTTTCCGAAAATTAGGGGTACCTTACTTTAGGGTCCTTGTTATAAGGATCTTATGATTTAGGGTACTATATTAGGGTCCCCCATTTTCGGAAACTCCCACGTTGAGGAAGGAGGCTCCTGTAAGGGCTTAGGGTTTAGGGGTTGGGTTCTTTTTTAACAGTGCAATGGGGCCTTTTCTTGCAGGAGGTCCAGCCGGTTTGGGGTTTAGGGTTTAGGGTTTAAGGGTTTGGGGTTTAGGGCTTTGGGCTAACATGGAGCTGTGGGAGCATATTAATGCGATGTACATGAAGGAACCCTAAACCCTATGTCGAGGTTCCGTGAAATCCCAAAACCTATGCCTCTGATCTGTTGATGCCAAGACTGAGGGCTCTGACGGAGAGGCAATTTCGGGTGCAGATTTTGGCCTAGGGTCGGGGCTTTGCAGAAAAGTCTAGTCCTAGTGGCATGGGTCAAAACAAGGATTGGGACTGCTGGCCTAAGCGTGATTAGGATTGCAGTACGGATCATCGCATCACGGCGCTCCCACGGTTTAGGGTTTAGGGTCAAAGGCCCACATGCGCCCCAGTTACTTGCTAGCGAAAGCTGACCGGTATCTACCAAACCAGCACGAACTAACAGTAAGGAGGCGGTCTGCATGTTGGTGCCACTTGTGAGACAGTGATGAATGAAGATATATAAAGACGTTCGTCACCCTAAACCCGAAACTTACCCTTGACCCAAGCCTGTCGAGTGAAGTAAGGGTGAGTTTGCTGTTTGAAAACTCCTCCGTACTGATGAGAAGGAAACAGAAGCACACAAATCCTGCATGATCCCTTTGAGCGCCGCAAACTCCTGGAAATGCAGGGTCGGAACAGTCATTACGATCATAATTTCCAGTAGCATTGCACTGCTGACTCGACAACTATATGAATTGAAGTGTAATAACTCTTGAGCAGAGACATGTGATCCACAAGAGCTTACGCTGGAAGCAAAGCCTTCCCTCCAATATCCGATCTCCAACTGCCGGACCCACACCATGAGAGTTAGGGTTTAGGGTTTAGGTGGTTTAGGGTATATAGGGCTGCAACATAGGCTTGAGATTAGGAATATTAGGGCCTCAGGCTTCAGGCTTTGAAGGGCAGGACACAAAGTCGGTTCAGCGTTCAGGCTTTAGCGTTTAGGGTGGGTGCATGATGGCAAATATTGAAGTGAGAAGGGATGTGGTACTAGGACTGGGATCCAGCCAACAAGACGCCAGAAAATGACGCAAGTTCAACCTCAACACCCTCAACCAGTGAACACTCTAAATCCCTGAAGCCCTTCCGCAAGGCACCTTTGCTGGAGCCTCGTGCAGAGGAAGGCGATCCTTTCGCACTGGCCTCACTTCTCTTGGGGTCTACACATACAGAACCTTATGTGAAGTTAAGTTTCCTGGCTAGCTTGCTTTATCATGCAAGGTCTGGCCCTTGTTATAGAATCGCTGATCCTCACCGCTGATCCTCCAAAAACGACGACCCTCGGGTCAGTGGAGGTCGAGGGAGGTGATAGGGCTCAGGAGTTTCCGGAAAGGCCATGGTGGTCATGGTGGGCATTTGGGGGTTTCCGAAAGTAGGGGACCCTAACATAGTACCCTAAATAGTGGGACCCTTATTATAAGGACCCAAAAAGAAGGTACCCAAAATTTTCGGAAACTCCCATTTCTTCCGGATCTTTGGAAGCTCATGCGCTCAGCGACTCCCTAAACCCTAAGCCCCCTGCGCCCCACGGCCTAAAGCAACCAAAACATTAAGCGCAAACTCTGAACCCTGAACCACAAGTTCTATCTAAACCCTGTGCCAGTGTATGGTTTGGGAGTTCAGGGTTCAGGAGTTGCGGAGGTGCCCGGGGATTTGAAGGCTGTTTAGAGGGTCATGGCACTCAGAAACTTTGGAGCTATAGATAACATGGCGATTAGTCGCTAATTTTTTGGAACACTTGAAAGTAGAATTATCAAGTCCCCTGATCCACCAAGTAGGGCCGTGGAGATTGCAGCCTGGGCACTGCAATCCCCAGGTTCAGCACTTCGCGGGGGTTCGTACAAGGCTGTATTTGTATGGGAACTTTTTACACAGGGCAGTATTCGGGTTCTTATTGCTTTCTATGCTCCGGGATGTGTAGCTATACAAAATACCATGCAATGAACAACAACGAGCGCTGAGCCCCAAACATCACAGCCCTAACCACGGCCCCTTTCTCTTAATTGAAGAAACACCCAAGCCCGAGCCATAAACTCCAAAGCGTTCACGCCCAGATGGCCCAATATCCGTAAGTTTTTGGACAAATCTTGTGTTATAGTAGGATCCCTCATTGATACAACGAGTATCGCTGTAATTCAATGACATTAGCAGATCCGGGCCCACCAGAGATCCCGCCCCACCGCCTACGTCAAAGTGCAAGGGTACAAGGCTTCCGGGTCAGGGTTTAGGGTTTAGGGTTTAGGGTTTAGGGTTTAGAGCTCCCAGGCGAGGTGTTGAACACTTGGAACCTCTGGTTGGGCTTTAGGTTGGTTGGTCGGTTTCGGGTTTGGGGTTTCTTACCTTTGGTTCGTAGGGAATGGAAGAATGGTAGTAATAGTAGTTATACTTGTACCCCATTCCTCCATTCCCTATTAACCAAAGGTAAGTATAGATCCCTTCCAGTAATTCTAGTAATTAACCCTTATAGACCCCCTTAACGGGAACCCTACCATTCCCTGCTGATCAAAGGTAAGGTTTAGAATCATGACACCTCGAACGTGAAGCAAGCCCCCGAACGTGGAAGGTCCAGGCGGCACTTGCGTAGCTGGCAGGGGAGGGCAGCGCTGTCGACGCATCCTCGGGGAAGCTTATTATATACATATTTATATATACATACATATATATATATATATATATACATATCTATCTCTCTCTCTCTCTCTCTCTCTCTCTCTCTCTCTCTCTCTCTCTCTCATTTTACACATAATTTACTCCAAGACCCTAGTCTGATTTTCAACTCGAACCACGATAAGACCGCTTGCAAAAACCCGCCCATAGAGGAACCCTTAAATTCAACACCTCCGGACCAGGCTGCGGAAGCCGCACGCGCCGGCTGCTTTGACGGCCGCTTCCCCACCGGCGAAGAGGCTGGGGAGACGTCAGCATCCTCCTGGTCGAGTTCAGGGTTTAGAGTTCAGAAGGTGAGCCCCTCTGATGGGCTTAAAAGACACGTAGGGGGCAGGATCCCTTCAAGGTTCGTCTACTCGATGGCGATTGGAACTCAATTGCCAGAGCCAGCAAGGTTTCTGGACCTTGCGGTGTTTCCTGAACCGTGCGAGACCGACACTTCTTGCTGGGCACTGCACGCATTCTAAAATCATAATCCCAAACTTGAACCTTCCGTGTTTAACCCGAAAAACCTGGGATAGCGAATTAGGAAAGGAGCCTCCTCTTCCTCCTCCTCGCCGGTGCCTGGGGCAGCCGACACCCGTGAAGGGGACACCGGCGAGCGTGGAGAGTCCGTCTGCGGCGGTGCCTTGGAGTTTCGGATTTTGTCGTTAAGAGCCTACAAGGTGTAGATAAATAGGGTTTGGGGTTCGGGGTTTGGCTGTGCTGCTCGCTAAACAGCGAATGTCTCAGATCTTGACTGTATCGGCCGAGAGCTTCAAGCAGCTGTGCAGCAACCCAGATCCTTCATCAACCCTACATAGCACACACACTCCTGCAGTATCGGCACCTTAAGATACGTCGAGGCATGTATCGTACTCTTTGCTGCGACCCAGGTCACGAAGAATCGAACAGAGAGCGCCTGGCGAAAATCCAAGAGAAACCCTGGCAGCCCCAAAACACGAGGCACCACATTCTGAAAGCTCTTGGACCCTCTACCTAAACCCCCAAAACCTAAACCTTAACTCCCAAACCCCCTATGCAGCGCGTAGTGCTTAGGTCTTATATATCTTCCAAGTAGAAGCTAAACTGTGCTCGGTCGCCACACCCACGGCATCCAGGGGTAGGGTCGCGCTGCGCAGTCGGTCCTTGCATGCCTGGGCTGAGGCTTTGGTGTTGAACTGTTGAACCGAGAACCCCGAACCCCAACCCTGAATCCCGAAATCCCGAACCGAATCCCAAATTCTAAATCCTTAACCCGAACTCCGAAAAACAAAGCCTTCGATCCCGACGCACAAATCCAGAAACCGAAATCCCACGGTCCTTCGGCCCCAGATCTGTCCCGGGCTTGCGAATCATCGAAAGTCTTGACATAGACACAGGCTTCGAAGTCTAACAGGCATCTGTGTATTCTGAAAACCGTCCAGCCCCCATCATCACTATGTAGCAAGCACAGGCAGGAACTGGAATGGCACTTGATGTAGGATTCCCGAATATTCCCGATGTACGGCCGCTGCAGCATCAGAAGGGAACAGCTGAGGCTTCTGCGCTTGATACACCCGATCCCTTAATTGGATCCTATGCCTACGCCCCTTCACAGCATCAGACGCTGTGCTGCTGAAGCCGCAAACGCTCTCTTCGGAGGTGGGCGTGTCGATAAATTCCAACCGGTCGTCTATTCTACTATAGGGGGCCTGATAGAGTAGAATATTGTCTTTTTGGTGCTTCAATACGTCAATACGAACCCATGAAAAGCTACTATACAAGACGCGGTTAAAACGCGGGCTAAAAATTGGGCTTGCGCCTTTCTTGCCTTAGATAGACAGGCTTGCTGAAATTATTGGATGGTGGAAGACATCCCATGCTCCAGCCTGTGTAGCGCTCGTTTGAGGAGAAGTGATAGCTGTCTATCATATACTCTGTCTTACTCAACGTCTTAAGGTTGGCCTTATATCTCCCTTGTGTGACATTCATGCCACGCGAGGATTTCGGTTAAACCGAAGAACCCCGCAAAAAACGACCAAACCCACAACACGCTGTAAAACCTTAAACCGCCAACTCTGGGCCTGAACAACAAAACACATGTACTACGGTTGATGATATAAATCCTGCATTACCCAGAATAAGGACTATACCATAATTTCCATACTTTAGGGTCCTTAAGGTAATGCAGGATTTATATCATCAACCGTATGACGCCCCTACTTGGAGGTTCATGGGTAGTTATAATAAGTAGCGTTATAACTAGGGTGACTATACATATAACCTTAATTATAACCCCACTTATAACTACCCCTGAACATCCAAGTAATGCCCTGTAAACCCGAAAAGCTCGGAGCTCCACTAGTTGCTCGGTTTGGCTGTTTTTGCGTTGGGTGTAGGGCTCTGGGGTTTAAGGTGTCTGGGCTTCTAGGCTCCAGGGCTGCGGGGCTCTGGGTCCGAAGACCTTGGGTTGAGCCGGGTTTAACAACGGTTGATGATATAAATCCTGCATTACCTTAAGGACCCTAAACTATGGAAATTATGGTATATTCCTTATTCTGGGTAATGCAGGATTTATATCATCAACCGAATCTCCCTGCATGCAAGGGGCAGCAAGGCTGAGCGCAATGGGCGTGATCTCTGCGGCCTGGGCTACAAGCTTTGAGAACTGCCTTGGGGCAAGCTTTTTGGCTAAACCCCAAACTGCTTCCGAAGCCTTAGGCCCCTCTAACCCTAGAAACCAAAGCCCCCAAAGCCCTAAACTTCTAAACATTAAGCGCCTAAACCCATGCGCACATCGAGGCTCTAGCATGCAAGGGCTTGTGGTCAGAATCGCATGCTTGGATGGCTAAGGGATCTAGGGGATATAAGGGATTAGGGTTTAGGCCTCATAGCTGAATCGAAATCTACGTCCCCAAAACCTATCTTCAGCCCAAAGCCCTGCACGCGATTTTGAGCCCTCAGACTCCAAGCTATATTATACAAGGACAACTGAGCAGCATGAGTACTCCAAGCGAAATCCCTCACCAACTCGAAACCACATTACTACACAAGATCGGGACTTCGTGCCAAACTCGGGATGTACGACGATGTGACAAAACCTTTGATTGGGGGGGACGGGTGTTGATAAGGGACTTGCTTCAAGGTGTCTGTTTGCGGAGGAGAATACCAAAACAAAGATCCGTGACAAAACGCGAGTCGGATTTGCACGTTAGTTGCTCAGGATGTGTGGTAGTCCTGAAATCGATCAGCGGGTTTGGAAGGTTGTTCTAGGCTTTTGGGGTCCTTAATGGTGGGTATGTAGGGCCTGTTTAGAGACGAGGGTGTTGGGGGCGCTTTACTGGTCTACAGATCTGACAGCTTTGGGATTGAATCCCTTAGCCTGCGACTCTACTGTGAGGTCTCTCTCCCTCTTCCGCCTCCCTCCCTCCGTGCCTCTCTCTCTCTCTCTCTCTCCTCTCTCTCTCTCTCTCTCTCTCTCTCTATCTCGCTCTCTCTGTCCCTCTCACTCTCTCTCTCTCTCTCTCTCTCGCGCGCTCTCTATCTCTATCTATCTCTCTCGCTCTCTCTCTCTCTCTCTCTCTCTCTCTCTCTCTATATATATATATATATGTATATGAAGATAAGTATACATACACATATATATATACATATTTATATGTATGTTTCATCTAAACTCACTGATTTGTATATACAGCCCGCTGAACATATACCACTTGTGCGGTTTGCTGACTACAAAATTGCGTTTGTGAGACAACTTTGGGCATTTCGGTTGCAGGCACCTCAAGTAGAACACGCTCAAGATCTGCGCGCTCCACGCAGCCAGCCTTCGTCACATAGGCTGCGAAGGGCAGTGGTTCGTGAAATCGTGAGCGTAAGGTCTCACACATATGGGTGGTTGTCAAAATTAGGGTCCCTTTTTGGGTACCCTAAATATTAGGTGCCGTATGATAATAGGAACCCAAAAAGGGACCTTAATTTTGACAACCATCTATATGGGGGCCTGGAATAAAAAGCAGGAGCCACCATGAGGAGCCGGAATAGTTGGCCGATAGTAGTTTGTCCGATTCTATCTGATGATGATTTACCCCACAACTTACCTTTGGTTAGTAAGGAATGGAGGAATGGGGTACAAATATAACTGCTATTACTACCATTCTTCCATTCCCTACTAACCAAAGGCAAGAAAAGAAAAATCTGCATTTTTCACTGGGACGTCCAAGGTCAAGAACGAGAAATGTTCTGGGCAAGATTTACCTGTGGTTTGTAGGGAATGGAAGAATGGAAGAATGGTAGTAGTAGTAGTAGTAGTAGTAGTAGTAGTAGTAGTAGTAGTAGTAGTAGTAGTAGTAGTAGTAGTAGTAGTAGTAGTAGTAGTAGTAGTAGTAGTAGTAGTAGTAGTAGTTATAGTTGTACCCCATTCCTCCATTCCCTACTAACCAAAGGTAAGAAGACTGATCCTCTGGATCCGAAGCTCCGTTAAACAATCGTCGACCTCTGGGGTTTGGGGCTTTAGGGGTTTAGGGTTTTAGGGTTTTAGGGTTTAGGGCTTTAGGGGTTTAGGGTTTGGGGTTTGGGGCTTTAGGGGTTTAGGGTTTAGTGTTGTGGAGTGCTGCCGGACGACGAGGGGACAGCACTCCGCAACGCTCCGCAACGCTCCGCAACACTCCGCAACGCTCCGCAAGGCTTGCAAAGCCTTGCAGAGTGCTGCGGAGTGCCCCCCTATAGCCCTGGCTGCTGGCCCCGCCCCTGCCGCTTCCTGCCCCTGCCCCTTCACCTGCCTTCCTCCCCGCCCCTACTCCTATCCCTGCCTTGCGCTGCCGCCTGCCCCGCTGCAACCCCTGCCTCTCCCGGCTGACACTGTGATTCTCGGCCCACTCTGCGCCCCTCCGCTCCAAGGGACAAGAAAAGGCTTCATGCCTTCTCGAGCCGCAAGCGATTTGATTCCTGCACCACGGCCAGCGGGTTGGGAGGAGCGGACACAGCAGAGAAACCCTGAACAAGACGACGAAAATCATAGGCGGGCAGACAGGGGTGGGTGGATGCCATGGGAGGATGGAAACAGATGTGCGCAGATGCGTTGCATGCGCATCGGATTCTCGCCAGCCCTTGCTAGTAAACAGTGTTTGCCATACCCCCTTTGGGGGGCCCCTGTAAATCACAGTTCATTGGGGCTCTAGGGGTTTAGGGTTTGGGGCTTTTGGTCGCGCTTTTAGCCGATGTTCTTGAAACTGCCCATCCGGGACGAGACTGGGGGCCATAAACCCTCCAAGCCTCAAGCCCTAAATCATAGCTCAGGCTTGTAGAGTTTTAGTTTGGGCGCCTTTGTAGCAGAGTTTTGTTTTCTTCAACTCGTACCCGATTTACGAACCCCTCTGACTGGTTGACTTTGAGTCATCCATCCAAACCTGCAAGACATGGGTGGTTGTCAAAATTAAAATCTTTTTGGGTACCCTAAATTTTTCATTAGGTGCCGTATGATAATAGGGAACCCAAAAGGGACCTTAATTTTGACAACTACCCACATGGGGGTGTAGGGCTTAGGGCATAGCGGTTTACAGTAGGGTATTGCACGGAACAGGGTTTTGGGACTAAGTCTTATGCCAGCTCTAATCAGCCTGGGGCTGCCAAGCTGACCCTAAACTACCCTAAACCCCTAGACCCCTAAACCCTAAACAACGAAACCCCAAACCCCTAAACCCGAAATCCCTAAACCCCAAACCCCTGAAGCCCTAAACTCAAAAGCCTTACAGAGCATAGGGCTTCGGACTTCCCTGTAAAATTCGGATACAGGACTCGGCTGTTTGCCTCTGATTGTATCATAGGGACCCTTAGGGGGGTCGGGGGATGGGGGGGAAACTTCCTTAAGTAGGCCTTATTTAGTCCTTGTTATGGGTAGTTGTGGATTTAGAGTTGGGAACCCTACGCCCCAAACCCTACAAACCTATACCTTATATACCTTAAACTTTAACCATAATCAAGCCCTAGACCTCCCGAACCTTCGATCAGCCTTAGCACTAAACGTAGCCACGTTGCTGTAGACAGGTTCTGACGATGGCAGGCCGCCCGCAACTCGGCGACCGAGGGTGGGCCAGCCTGTTCTAGCAAAGTCTCGATCTGTTGGGTGAACTAACCAGTGGTTTTGGGGCTCCCTTGGCTCTTTAGCTCCTTATTCAATAGGGATTATCATCATCCCTGGCTCCTTAGCTCCTCCAATATCAAAGGTTAGTGAAGGCTCTTACGACTCATGTTGAGTTTAAGCCTCGAACTACGGGTTCATACTTCAACCAAAGGGCTCTAAGGATTAAACTTCGATTGTGGAGCTCTAAGGCTTCGCGTTTTGAGTAAGCTGTACGGAGTTAGGCTGCGAGGCCTGGAGGCGCAAAAGACACCACTGTTCCATGTGGAGCCATACCTCGAAAACCCAACACCCTAAACTTCCAAACTCTCAACAAACCTCAAAACCCTATCAACCTAAAAGATTATAGAATCTGACATCCACACCATTAGCAACCTGAAACCCTAAACCTTTGAAGACCACTATAAGCAAAAGCTCCAATATCTGGGATGCTGCAGCTTCCTGGCTTTTCGAAATGTTTCTGGTTCTCCGGTCTCCGCAAGCATTCGGCATGGAGTCTTCCACGTCATCGCGATGGTTTATGTTAGTTGAGGGTTTAGGGGTTGTGACGTAGGGTTTGAGGCCTAAAGTTTCCCGCAACTTTAAACATGCCATCCGCACACAGCTCCCAATCTCTGCTCAATCCGAAACGCCCACATCGAGCTCACACCCGCTGCAGGACACGTTGCGAGGATCAAACATTGTGTTGAACCCACACCTTGAAACCTTTAAATCCCTCTGCGCGTTACCGAACCTAAACACCTAAACCCCGACACCCTAAGCCCTAAGAGCTTGAGCTTTGGGTTTGAGGCTTAGCCCGGATTTGGGGTTTAGGATTCATTCAATACAGGCTTAGAGGCCCTAAATCCAAACACTGTCTCGAAAAGCCCGATTGGGCCTCTCTCAGTAGACGAAGGAACTCCTGCCCCCGAGGTTTGAGAAAGAGTGCCCAAACTGGAAACGATGAAAGGTGCGAAAGTTGCGGGGTTTTGGAGTGTGCGGTTTTACCAATTACGACTTGGGGTGTGAGGTTGGCTCGCCGACTCTGCAAAAAAAATCTGGCCTTGGTCGTTGGAGAGCTTGCGTAGAGACTATGTTGAGTTTGGTCATTCTGCTTTGTGGACCACAGCTTAAGCTGAATATTGCCTTCTTGTTATGAGTTATAAAGTTCTATTTGGTGCCCATGCTTGAATCGTACTTTTGAAGGACTTCAATTTGGGCAGTTCTCTGAATTGGTCCCTTTTAGACCCCAATTAGAGAACTACCCGTGTGTTGGCCAGGATTTAGGCTGTTGTCCGCTGCCTGCACATGGATAGATGGATGGCAAAACGATTTTTTGTAGGCCCATAAAAACACTGCCAGCACTGTTTGAGGGGGGGCTCCTTGTTACAATTATAATGCAACGTACCCAAAACGCTTCATCTTCTTATCCAGTGGGTTCACATGGCTGACTTCCACTGCTTGTAGATGGTCTTCAATTTCGAAGTTGGCCGATGTGAACCCATGATGTTCAAGGGGAAGTATGGCTCGCCAACACTCTTCCTGATCAACAGTCGCAACTCAAGAGGGGAAATGTGTCTCTTCTCAGTCGTCCAAAACAAAAATCATGTCAATGTTTACGGGTGGTTGTCAAAACCAAGGTTCCTTTTTGGGTATCCTAAATAATAGGTGCCGTATTATGATAGGGACCCAAAAAAGGGACCATAATTTTGAGAACCACCCTTATCGTGCGCAAAGGCTCGGGCCACTCGCCGCGTCTGTTTAGAATCGAATCGGCACACAACCCATAGTTGAAAGATTGAAAAGACATCTCAGTGAACCCCCCCAAATTCAAAGGACTATGAACCGACCTTATGCGCGCCCGCTTCGTAACATATGGAAAACCTCCAGGCAGCTTCGCAGCCTACTGCACTTAGGAACGCATGGAGCTGGGATGGAAGACTTGGCATGTCCAACGTCTCTTTGATCTCGGTCCTCTCCTCTCAACTTTCTTAACCCAGCCGACGTCAGAATGCCTTGAAAACGAAAATATCCTGGCTGCTATCGATGCAAAGAAAGGAACAAAATTATGATCCGAAGCTGTGAACTCATGCGCCCCGCCAGATGTCTTGACTCTGCGGGAAACCGCAGACTGTCCCTAAGCCTCAGCCCCTGAGAAGCCAGAACGGGGCTTCAAGCTAACGTGGATCTACACATGAATAGACAGACGACATATATATATATATATATATATATATACACATGGGAGTGCTGTTACTAATAACTCAGCTTTTTGGTTCAACCCGCCCGAAGCGCCGAAACCTGCAATCAGAGAATCAAACCCAAAGAAGCTCCTCCCGCTCGACGACGCCTTTGGTCTTCTTCCTTAGGACGGAGGTTTCTCCAAGCTCACTGAGGGACCCTCGTGCTTTTTGTTGAAGGTTTAGGTTTGGAGTTTATGGGGTTTTGGGACAGCGGTTGCCCAGAATTACTCGCGAAGGGCCATTGTTGGAGTTCAGCCGTTGAAGTTGAATACCATAGGTGCCATAGGGGCCTCAAGAACTAGAATGGGGTTTTGGGGCTTAGGCTTATGATACTACAAATCAGGAACCACCAAAATAAAAATAATAAAAATAAATAAATAAAAAAATAAAAAAACATTAAAAAAAAAAATATATATATATATATATATATAGGTAAATACTAAGGCCCCCATATTAGGTTTCAGGCCATGACGTTCAGGGAAGGCCGGATTGCGGGTTCGAGGCCCTGAACCCTGAAACCATGAACCCCCAACCCCCCCCCCCCCCCCCCCAAAAAAAAAAAAAAAAACCTACACAAATGCTATAAAAATCCGATTAAAGCAAAACCCGAACGGTGTAAAAGCCCTGTAAAAAAGCGGGAAACCCCCTAAGCCAGTGCTGTTGGAGCCTCCCTCTCTTCTCGCAGGCAGCCCGCAGCTGTGACACACTGGCACGGCCCAGCAAGGAGTCCTGGGTCGCTTCTCGAAGGCTTTGAATTTTGGGTTTGGGGTGTAGGGTGTAGGAATTAGGGGTTGGGATTTGGGTTTGGGGTGTAATGGTTCCTTCAGGGTCCCTGTGAAGGTTTATGGTTGCAGCAATCCTTAGACGGAACCCTGACTGGAAACCTCCCAGGAACCCTTGTAAGTACATGCTCAGCTCGATATGAACAGGGGCCTGGGTTGCTTATTTTGGGCTGACAGGGCGACAACTCCTGGCAGTTTCCGTTAAGACCCCCTTCCCTGTTCCAAAAATGGTATTCTACTCCAACACCCCTATCATAAACCCCACACCTTTAGGGTAGGCTTCTTGGGATTTGGGGAATTTGGGAATTGGCTGGGGCTTCTGGGTTTTACCCCCCCCAAAGCTGAAACCGCATAGATCGCTCCAAGAAGCTCTGTCGTGACCATTTGCACTCGAATAAAAGCTGCCAGACATCGTCGCTGCCCGTGGCAACCTGTCGACCGGGTCTCCACCAGGACTGCTTTAATGCTCGGTTTAGGGTTCAGGGTTTATTTTTTTTAAGGTGCAACGGCCTTTTCTGGTTCAGCAGCGTCAGCCTGGGTTTAGGGTTTAGGGGGAGTTTAGGGGGCTTCAAAGATTTCGACTTCCTAAACCCTCCATCTACCCTGCATTAGCCCACTACTTCGGGCCATACACTCCTATTTGAGGCTACAGGGAGGGTTCTGGTTACGGGTGTTTTAGGGCTGTTTCGGGAGGGGGAAAATCTTTAGCCCTGAGGCGTAAGGGTTTAGGGTTCCTCTTGGGAGTTCGTAGAAGGTCCCCTCCTTCGGGGTTTCTATAAGGGTCGAGGGTTTAGGAGTTTAGGGTTCGTCTTAACGCCCCTATAATTATGAGGGTTTAGGCTGTAAGGTTTAGGGATTTGCGGCTCTACAGGGTTTTTTGGATCTGAAGGGGTTCTGTAAAGGGTTCATAATAAAGGTTTTTTGTCGGGCTCTCTGAACGTATCTGCATGGTTGCACAACGGTCTTTCTTTCTTCCATTGGCAGTTCTATAAAGCTCTTCTAAGAGCTCCATCGCATTGTCGCTGTTGTTTCGCTTGCTGGGTTGGCGGTTTATGGTTTTGGGCTTGTCGTCGTCGGTGGTAAACTGTAGACTAGGGGTTTTGTAGAATCAGGTTCCACATACCGTAGGGTTTAGGTGTGCTTGGGCTTGCGGTACATGGATAGACCGCAAATCCCAAACCCTACGCCCCAAACACGCAACCGCCCAATATGCTTCGACCCTGCAATACTGTTCCCGGCACCCTTCTGAGCCATACGGATATGCCACGAACATATTTATGTATATATATATATATATATATATATATACATATATACTGTCTATATTATATATATATATATATATATATATAAATATCTTAACACCGTGGAAGACCTAGGCTGCAAACTCATAAAACAGTGTACAACCCCGCAGAACTCAACAGAAGCACTGAGAAGCGCCCTTGCGGTATAACTTTAATTTCAGTTCAGGGCCCTAAACACCCTCAAACCTAAACACCCTAAACCCCTAAACCCCTGAACCCCTAAAACTCTAAACCCCTAAACCCTGAACCCTGAACCCTAAACCCTGAGCCCTAAACCCCGAGCCCTTCAGTACTTGAGCCCTCCAAAAGGTTCAGCCTCGGCTCGACATCCAGCGCCATCATCTGCTCTTCAGTCACCTGCTTTGGGGACTTAGCAAGTTTAGAGTCTATGGAGGTTCATGGGTAGTTATAAGTGGGGCTATAAGTAGGGTAACTGTACTTATTGCTCATATTAGGGGACTTAGAACCCCACTTATAACTACGCATGAGCCTCCAAGTAGGGCTCTTTTATACGAGTCCGTTTAAGTTAAAGAATGCTATAAGGGTTCTGTAATAGGGGCTTAGGGTTTGGGTTTAGAGACCACCTGCTTCGGGGACTTAGCAAGTAGCATAATACGAACCTGAACATTGCGAATAGGATTTTGGGGTA